ATCAGGTCTTCACTCACAATTTTTTTAACTGTGCTTATTTAGATGTAGTGTGGTGTGCCCTTCTGAGCGACTTTCAAAGGATCTGCTTCACTTGTCTCTTTGATGAGTTGTTGTGTGCTGCTAAAAATGGTGAGACTCACTGACGATGCTGACTACGTTGCCGGCAAAACGTCTGGAAATGTACCACGTCCATGGTCCGAATTTGAAAAGTATTATGCATAAAATGGACTCCGGACTAGGTGCGTTCCTCTAAGTCTTCCTACCAATATGACCAAGTTGCGAGAACAAGGTCAAACAACCTCTATTGCATAACTAAAGGTTAATCATCGAAAATTTTTTAAACAGTTCCTATTTGAATCAGATAGGTGTAGTTTGAATTATAAAAATATGAAGAACTCATAAACCGAATATTTTAATCTTATTCTACTCTATAAAACCCCAGAGATTTTTATGAAGATATCTTTAATAATAGCTTAAATGCATAGTAGTAAAGCAATTATGAAACAAAAAAAGATGGAGAAGCTCGACGTCTACTGAAGGGAAAATGTTATTAGCTTGAGTATTAAAAGAAATAGTTACTTTTTACTCAAAAATGGTGGAAATAAATCGCTTTTATGCGAAATAAAAATGTAGTAGATGGATTAAGAGATCAATTTCAATAAAATGTCATTATAGAAAGACCGCTGTAAAATGTGCAGCTAAGCGAATTTAACAGCTTTTATCTGCTCTAGCCATCTAAACTTTTATTAGGAAAATACATAATATTATCCCACGCTAGGCTGCCAGATATATAGAATAATTTTATTTTAATTACAAACAAATTTTAGTTTTAATTTTAAGCACATATTTAAAGCCTTATTTATTATAATTTTGTATTTCTACTTTAAGCTATATTAATCCTGTTACACTTGTATTTATATTCTTTATCCTACATACTTTTAATTATTAGGCACATTAGTTTATTATTCAATGCAATTTCCTCACTTTAAACAAAATGTTACACTAATTTTAAAAACCTCATATTCTATCCCTTTTATATTCTGCATAATACACAAGAGTCATGACCATATCTTTTATACGGAGTAAAAATTATAAATTACATTTTATTTGATTGAATTTTATAATACAGCTCATTTTCTTTTCGTCTCTTAGCTGACGAGTTAAAAAGTGCCCATGCAAAAAATTACTTAATTTCTTTGCTTCCTAACTGAGGTGACGACAGTTGACTATAATATAATAAAGCATTTACTATATATAATCAATTTTAAAGTGAAATGTATTCTTGTAAATTACTTATAACTTTAGAAGTCAAATTTTGATTATCCTTCAGTGATATTTATAGGCTACATATTTTCTCAAATTCCTGTAGCTATTAAATTACTACTTACCCCAGGTAAGATGAATTTGGTAATGTCCTGAAATATTGCTGGCCATTCTTCGGGCTCTTCAGGCGCTTCTTTAGGAATTAATGGCGGAAGATAACCCGGCTCCACGTCAGGAATTACACGTCGTTGCGGGAGCTCATCAAGATACTGACAGATGAAGTCAACCATGTGTTTGCCCCATTTGCGAAAGTCCTCGCTATCCATTTTGCTTTTGCAAAAGATTTTGGAGACTAGAAGCCGAGTACGCGATGGCTTATCGAGAAACGTGAGGATCTACGATACACCGTCTAGATGAGATGCATAATAGAAAACTAGAAGTAAACAATTTTGGAACTAATAAAAATATATTTAAACGAATAATGCTTCTGGAAATTATAAAATTCAAAATAAATTTAAAGAAGTTTCACATTGATATATTAATGGCTTTTAGATTGGCTCAAATAAGTAACGAAATGCTTGAATCATTGAATAAGATTGTTTACAGTATTTCAATACATAGTCCATTATTGTAATGCAGTGTGAAACTGAGTTTGCTAAATTTAGTACTTGTATTTAGGTTTTATGAAAGAGAAGACAATACACCCAAAGATCTTCAGCTTTCGTTATTTCCTATTTTGAATAAATGCATCTATAACCTTTATTATTTATTTTTACAGTTGCTTTGACAAAGAGAATGTCAGAATTAAGTTCTTGTTGAATATTATTTAGGTGTTGGGGAGTAAAAGGTCTGTATATCTTCGACGAAAGTAATAACTAGGTATACAATATTATAATTTTCCAAAATTATCACTGCAAAACAAGAGCAAACAAAATTATCAGAAGACATTTTATCTTTGAAAAGGATAACTAAATCAAGCCATGTATATCTTAGGAAAATAATATTGAACCTAGTAACTCTTCCATTGCAAATGACTGTTATCTATTTACAGAGCTAGTGTTAGCATAAATAACAATATTTTGCATCAAACTAAGTATTAATAAAATTAGGTTTTAAGTCATATATTAGTGATTAATAAGGAAGGATCGGCAAACTTTGAATGAATATTAGATAATTAAGAGAAATATTTGTACATAGTACTATATTCCTTCGTAAATAATAGTGCATCCAATTTATTAACTTTTGCGTTAGAGAGTATTTAAATTGTGTCTAGATTTGCAATGGTCATAAAAATAAATTACTGTATTTTGAATTTGAATACAATATTTATTCATTAAGATACAAATATATTATTATATTTAAATTTTGCGTATAATATTATAATGGATAAAAATTTAATGTCAGCAACCAAATATAATTATAATTTTCTTATTCATTCTTACAAGGAATATAAAAATACAGGTCACGTTGCCTTTAACTTTTCAAATATCTAAGATACAAAAAGTTAAAGTTTCTTATTCTTATATTATGAAGAGTATACTATTTGTACTAATTATGATAAAATTGAGATTGAATTTTCACGGAAATTTTTTTATGTCTGGGAGTCATGAATGATTGCATTTTCGATCTAGCCCAAGGATTCCGGATCAGGAAGGTTTAGGCTTTGGAGCCATTGTTCTTGCATCTACAAGCCTACTTCTTTTTCCACGACTAGATATAATGTCAGTTAACTAACTGTAAAAAAACCACAGAAGTGGTTTAATCTTTTCTTGGCCACTTGATCAAAAGGCCCTAGATAAATGCACCTTGTCAGGAGTTATCTGTCAAATAAATTCATAAGAATTTATAGAGCTAGAGAGTATACTTTAAATATTTTTATTTCGTTTCTAAGTAGGTTTTTGAGACTATCGATAGATCATATATATGAGGTTTATTCTCTCTATTTCGTCTAAGGTTATAAAAGGACCAGTAGTTGAATTTTCCTAAAATGATATGAGTATACATGACGTTTCCATTGTATTTTACATAGCCTTGTTTTTCCAAAAGATATTCCTATCCTGGCTGTAGCAGAATGCATTTTTGGTGGGATTTTCAAAGAAGTAAATTGATACTTATTATAGCGATGGACTATATTACTTGTTTGTCGTTTTCACTTATCTTTTCGAGAGTCACAGTGCGTCATATATATGAGATTTACTTGATTTACTTGATTTAAGTTGCTTGTATGTCTTAGTTTATTTAAAATTATCCTTTAACATAGCCGATCACAGAAAAAGTGATCCCATTCAAATATCTCCTTATCAATTAAGAGTCGATAACGGCTACGCCAACCCTAAATGCTAACTTAGGAATTTTTATTTAATAATTCTCGTACAAACTTATTACACTTATTTTCCTTCGCCATTTTAAGAAACCCGTTTTATTTATAGTTTTATGAATTTGATAAATTTTAAGAAGCCATATCCCTTAAGAAAATAGGTCTGCAAATAAAAATGTCAAGTGAATTTACAGAAAGTTTTCAAGAGTGATTGGCCTATAAAAAAATTCTTTTTGACTTAGCTTGCTATATATTATTTAGCACTAATGTCCCGAAATAAGAGAATGATAGTTTTTCTTTAAAAATTCAGAATGAAAATAAGATACAATTGTTAATAAATCTGTACAAACTAATTATAATAATGTTGCCGTTTAATTAAATCACGATTCCTTTTATTTCAAATCATTTGAACTGTTTTATTCATTTAATGTCTTTATTCAAAAATGGTGCCTTTATTATAACTCATTACATGTTTAAAAGTCACCTTTTTCCTATATTTATGCTAAACAAGCTTTTAAGTAAAAATATAAATGATTTTGTTCCATTTCCTTTTTTTAAATTGCATTTATAAAGCGTCGGCTTCTATCCCTAAGAGGATATCAATAAGATATAGTTGAACTCAAAACTAATGTGAATTTCTAAAGACAATACACACTATGTGGTATGCATCCCAAAAAAACTCAACAAAGTTCGTGCAAATTGTCGTTAAATTTGTACTGAATGTTCATAATAAAATATTTTATACATATGTAATAGTATCCTTAGTATTATATCACTTATTATAGGCTCTTCATTAGATTAGCAATATGAATTACAAGTATGATACATGAAAAACAAGAGTGGGTTATTATAAAACTCTGGAATTTACTAGGTATGACCCCATAAGCGGTACCATAATTCTCTTAGCATTATTTCATGCAGTTTTGCTGTGGTCAAAAGTTTTAAAGTCATTAATTTTGATAAACAATTTGGTAAATTCTTAAACTGCATCACATTTTATTCATCATTACAGCATATTCAATATTAATATTAATATTAGTAAATAAGGTAACTTAGGCTGTATATCATAACTTTTCTTATAGCATGAAGATAATGAATTTCAATAATCCCATATTTGCTCTTTCTCCTTATTACGATCCAAAATATTTCAAAACGAATTACTATCCTTGACTTTAAATTACTTGATGCCACTATTTTTAATTTTACCGTATCATAGTTAAAAATAGATCTAGAGTCTACGGAATGGTTGGATTTATTTAATTTTATTAAATTATTTACATTAAACGAAATGTATCTATGCATACTTCTAAGTGTGGTCTCAAAAGCAACATTCGAATAAATTAAATTTGAGTTTTATTTATTATATAAAACATTGTTCCGTTGGAATAACATTTACATGTTCCTTGAATGCTATAAAATAAGCATCTTAAATATTTATCATATCTATATAAAAAATCTCTTGTTTTGTTCTTGTAAGCTCGTATTACTAAGTAATAAATTCACCTTTAATGTCCGTAATATTAATAAGTTTACAAACTTTAGAATATAGGGTTTTTTCATTATCCGATGTTTAGAAGAACATTATTTGACAATCTACTGTAGCTAAGTGAGGTTTCCTATTATAAGCAGGAATATTCTCCCGCTAAGTTTGCCTTTTAATAAATAAAACTTTAGAAGGTATGAAGACCAAGATGGTGTGGCCTTTTGTATTATCGCAGTCTCCTTTCGTTGTACAGAGGTTGCTGGACCTTGTTTTCGCAACATGGTCATATTGGTAGGAAGACTTATTGGAACGCACCTAGTCCGGGATCCATTGTCTGCATAATCATTTCCAACTTTGAACCATGAACGTGGTACATTTCCAAACGTTTCGCCGGCATCGTAGTCAGAATCGTCAGTGAGTATCGCCATCCTAAGCACCATACAGCAACTCGTCAAAAAGACAGAGAGAGGCAGAATGGGAGATACCATAACTGTT